ATCAGGATCTGTCCTGCCCTGGTCAAATTAAGGACATGGATTACGAAGGATATTCAAGGGTCAATCACCAGTAAACTACTGGACTCTAAAAAAAAAAGGCTATTGGCTAAACGAAAACAAATGCCAACACTAACCATCAAACCTTTTGATGGTTTGAACAAATTGAACAACACTAACTTTCTGACCTGAATTTCTTGTTCAATCTATTTAAAAAGAGAAATAGATTGGAATGATTTTCATCATTTATAGAAACGATGGAACTGACCCTTCTGGTAATGTGTTCCATTTGTTTACCAACTTATTATAAAAGATATTTAAAGTGAAGTGAAATTATTGGGCCATGATGTTGTTCCAGATCGTCTCATTGGTGAAGCCTGATGTCCTTGTTGTCCGTGAACACTGTGTGTAGTGTAGATGATTGTGTGTAGTGTAGTGGTGATGATTGTGTGCAGTGAAGATAGGCTAGTGCTGACGATTGTGTGCAGAGTAGATAGTGGTGATTGTGTGTGTGTAGTGTAGATATCCACTATACGTAGCCATGATGGTGAAGAAGGGTTGTGTGGGTAGTGTAGATGGACAGTGTAGATGCTGATGACTGAGTGTAGAGAAGATGGTTACGGTGACGAGGGGGGGGAGGAGGGGTTAAGCGTCCGGCACCCGAGCAACGCCGGCCACTCTCTCTCTACTGTGTAACAAGACATAAATAAAGTTTCATATGATTGGTGACTTGGATTAAATGGTAAAGCTAAACCGAGCTAAACCTAGCTGAACCTAGCTAAACTTAGCTAATCCTAGCTAAACTTAACTAAACTTAACTAAACTTACCTAAACCTAGCTAAACCTAGCTAAACCTAACCAAACCATATTTAACGTAACCAAAGCTAACCGAACTAAACCTAATCTAACTTAACCTAACCTAGCATAACTATACCTAGCCTAAACTAACCCAACTAATCCTAGCCTAACCAAACGCAACATAACATATTGGTGGACTTGTTCCTTTCCTGCCACAAATGTCACCTTTCATTTACAGTGTGTTACACATCCCCCGCTGTCTGCATCACAGGGGAGCAAAGGGACCCCAGCAGCGGCTCTGGGGACCCTGCTCCCACAGCGGCTCTGGGGACCCTGCTCCCACAGCGGCTCTGGGGACCCTGCTCCCACAGCGGCTCTGGGGACCCTGCTCCCACAGCGGCTCTGGGGACCCTGCTCCCACAGCGGCTCTAGGGACCCTGCTCCCACAGCGGCTCTGAGGACCCTGCTCCCACAACGGCTCTGGGGACCCTGCTCCCACAGCGGCTCTGGGGACCCTGCTCCCACAGCGGCTCTGGGGACCCTGCTCCCACAGCGGCTCTGGGGACCCTGCTCCCACAGCGGCTCTAAGGACCCTGCTCCCACAGCGGCTCTGGGGACCCTGCTCCCACAGCGGCTCTGAGGACCCTGCTCCCACAACGGCTCTGAGGACCCTGCTCCCACAGCGGCTCTGAGGACCCTGCTCCCACAGCGGCTCTGAGGACCCTGCTCCCACAACGGCTCTGAGGACCCTGCTCCCACAGCGGCTCTGAGGACCCTGCTCCCACAACGGCTCTGGGGACCCTGCTCCCACAGCGGCTCTGGGGACCCTGCTCCCACAACGGCTCTGGGGACCCTGCTCCCACAGCGGCTCTGGGGACCCTGCTGCCACAACGGCTCTGGGGACCCTGCTCCCACAACGGCTCTGGGGACCCTGCTCCCACAGCGGCTCTGGGGACCCTGCTGCCACAGCGGCTCCGGGGGACCCTGCTCCCACAACGGCTCTGGGGACCCTGCTCCCACAGCGGCTCTGGGGACCCTGCTGCCACAGCGGCTCCGGGGGACCCTGCTGCCACAGCGGCTCCGGGGGACCCTGCTCCCACAGCGGCTCTGGGGACCCTGCTGCCACAGCGGCTCCGGGGGACCCTGCTCTCACAGCGGCTCTGAGGACCCTGCTCCCACAGTGCCCCATACAGCCTGCTGGGGAAGATCGGGGGAGGGGAGCTCATCTCATGAACATCTGTTCACCCGGTGCGACACACACACAGCCGTGCTAGCATCCACACAGCACACCTTCGCTGTAGCAGTCCGCCAACACCTCAGCTCGGGGGTAACCCAGCTCCACACACTCAGTACACACTGTGTGTCCCACTCAACTCACTTGGCAGCTCCTAGTACGCCCACCTGATGTAAAGGCGAGGCTATAAGGTACTCCCTTACGTCTTATAGGCTTACTCAGGCACCTCAATCATAGTCCCACGCTGACAGTCACTCTGCTGGATGTCACAAATGCTCTGGAGAAAACAGTCTCTTGCCTGGAATTGACAAATATAATCGCAAAGCGCTCCTCACAGCGTCTACAGAAATGCGCTCTGGCGTAGCCTCTCCATCAGGTGTCTCGCAGTGCTCTGTAATTAGTCGTAACTTAGCCCTCACAAGGTTGTTAAATATATATATCAGAAAAAGGAGGGACACAGAAACACAAACTTTATAAAATGTAATATAATTAAAAGAAAAGAACAATATACGTTACGTTAATAGTCTCTTCTGAAAATTTTAATTGAAATGCTCAACCTGCTCTGAACTCATTAGGCTGTCGTGGCTCTTTATCTCAAATTCTTACGTTACTCACAAGAGCTTCTTGACTGTTGCAATAGAAATGAAAGAGCAAAACTCTAAATCAAAATTCATGAGGGTTACTACAGTTTGGCCAGCAACTGAAAATCACAAGACAAAAAAATAAATATTCTAAGCTCTCATTAGTGGTCTCAGAAATCATGCAACAATAATCAAAGGCAAAAAGAGTGATCAAAGTTAATAGACACTCAAATAAATGACCACAAGTCCTAAATTATTCCTTGGAACAATACTACTTCAAAGTGGGAATGGAGAAGGAAATGTTATTTAGCTACACAACGTCAATCAGAAACAACGCCTTGGTTCCAATCAAGCAACAACTTCTTTGCACTTTTAACTCATCAAAACCAGTTCTCATTGGCTAAGACTGTCCTCAGAAAATGTTTCACATCCAGACTTAGCTGAAGTGACTGTCCATATAGGCTCTCCACACGACTGACTGTTCAGCCGGGCGTCTGACGCAACTTCTTGGTCCCAAACCAACGGTTTCCTCACTGTTGGACTTACAGCTTCTCAGACAAAACATCGAAATAACCTCCCTGGGGTTAAGTAGCCCGCTCCTTGTGATGATACAAGACCCGCAGAACATCACAAAGTCTCGGTCTGCCTCATATTTGAGGATTTGGTCACTAGGAAATGCCCTGTGAGCAACGCTGGGTAATACCACATACCAGTATTTCATTCTCTACCACAGCCTGTGTCAGTCTCTACTACAGCCTGTGTCAGTCTCTACTACAGCCTGTGTCAGTCTCTACTACAGCCTGTGTCAGTCTCTACCTCAGTCTGTGTCAGCCTCTACCACAGCTTGTGTCAGTCTCTACCACAACCTGTGTCAGCATCTACCACAACCTGTGTCAGTCTCTACCACAGCCTGTGTCAGCCTCTACCACAGCCTGTGTCAGCCTCTACCACAGCCTGTGTTAGCCTCTACCACAGCCTGTGTCAGCCTCTACCACAGCCTGTGTCAGCCTCTACCACAGCCTGTGTCAGCCTCTACCACAGCCTGTGTCAGCCTCTACCACAGCCTGTGTCAGCCTCTACCACAGCCTGTGTCAGCCTCTACCACAGCCTGTGTCAGCCTCTACCACAGCCTGTGTCAGCCTCTACCACAGCCTGTGTCAGCCTCTACCACAGCCTGTGTCAGCCTCTACCACAGCCTGTGTCAGCCTCTACCACAGCCTGTGTCAGCCTCTACCACAGCCTGTGTCAGCCTCTACCACAGCCTGTGTCAGCTGCCACCGTCGAGGACACTCCCCAGCGCCCCAACTCAGTGTTATTGCCTGCTGTCCATCTTCACAATTCCACATTATTCCCCCCACCCCAACCATTCACGCACCAACGCTCCCCTTCTTTCTCTTTTTCTTACATACATATTATATATATATATATATATATATATATATATATATATATATATATATATATATATATATATATATATATATATATATATATATATATATATATATATGTTTCATTGAATATGACCGCATATTCTGTATTTATTATTTTCTGGTTTAGGGCTTCTATCCCTCTAACTATTTTCTTAGCATCAGGGCTTAATTGAAATAGGAGTTCTCCAAAACTCATTTTCGTACTTTTAAGGTGAAGAAAAGAAGTGATTTACTATAGGGTGTATTACACTTATTTGTATAATTTGCACGACGTTTCGAACCTCCATGGTTCATTCTCAAGTGAACAGATCTTACAATACTAGTTGATTTTATACCCGCATTAGGTCAGGTGATAATACAATGAAGGTGAAAACATGGGGGGATACATAAGGGATAAACATAGGGGCTGCAGAAGGCTTATTGGCACATACGAGGCATCTCCTATCTAAACACAAAGATTAATCCAGTGTAATTGGCCTGTTATGTTGGACTTTGTCTTCTGTGTTGGCATCGATATGTTCTTGTCTTGTCCTTACTCTCATGGTGGGTAGAGTAAATAGTTCCGTGATTTGGGTGTTCATGGTAGGTCGCTCTATTCTTATGTGAATTGCCTCAAGAATTTGTAATCTTCTTGAATCTTGGGTTTTGTCTATTATGCAAGTATTCTTGTTCAACATTTCTCTTGTTAGAGTAATGTCATGGGCTCATGAGTAATGTCAAACGGCGATGAGTCATATTTTGCCCAAACCCCCCTGCAGTTTTCAAAAGGTCTGAAATGTCAGATATTTGACTCCTGAGCGTGATTTTTGAGCCGAATTCTGACTCTCTGCACCTATTTTCAGTTTCAAATAGTGTGTGCCCTGGGTATACCCAGTATACCCTGAGTATACCCAGTATACACAAGGATAACAAAGCCACAGACACCTCAGGTCTTGCTTCACTGAGCAGATAGTATAGATGGTTGACATACGCTACCAGGTGATTGAAGCAGCCGGACGCTACCAGGCGTCTGAAGCAGCCGGACGCTACCAGGCGCCTGAAGCAGCCGGACGCTACCAGGCTCCTGAAGCAGCCGGACACTACCAGGTTCCTGAAGCAGCCGGGCGCTACCAGGCGCCTGAAGCAGCCGGACGCTACCAGGCACCTGAAGCAGCCGGATGCTACCAGGCGCCTGAAGCACTCGGACGCTACCAGGCGCCTGAAGCACTCGGACGCTACCAGGCGCCTGAAGCAGCCGGACGCTACCAGGCGCCTGAAGCAGCCGGACGCTACCAGGTTCCTGAAGCAGCCGGACGCTACCAGGCACCTGAAGCAGCCCGCCAACAGGCTCCACTAAGCCTAGACACAATACTCCAGCCCCAACACATGGACAAGGGAGCTGTCATGGCAGGTACTTGGCGAATAGAGAGACAAGCTCGAGGTATTTCTCTTAACAATAATCAACAAACTTCTTTATGACGTCTGAATGCCATACCTTTCATAGCCGGACATAAGGGCACAATTTTCATTATTTTCTTCTTATATGGAGCTATTTTTACTTGTCTAGCACTGTCTACCTTAAGTTCTTAAGTAATTCCTTAAGTACTTTCGTATATTAATACATTTTCAGAAGGAAAAAGTCTACCACTTTAAATTGTTTAATTATAACAAAGATTAATACTATTCGGTCACAATAGCCCAAAAAGATGTATTGAAGAAAAGGAATGTTCATTAACTTCTAAAAATGGCATATAGTTAGATTTTCAGATGGTCGTGTTCCCAAGTTGGCTAATGTAGGTAATTTTCTTCGTGAAAATTTGAAAAAGTTGAAAACTAAAACAAAACAACACAGCCTTTTCCAGGAGAGTATTTTAGGGTTTTGTTTTTATATAGAGAGTTTTTGTTTTTCAACCATTGCCGCTGAAAAGATCGTTTCTGTAAATAGTTAAGATTGTAGCTCGTTTGAGTGTGAGGATCGTCCTGAATTACCAGCCTCGCTAAACCTGCCATCACTCTTAATGTTACGTGTCTGTACGCGGGCAGGTTGGTAAGTTATTTACACTGTAGAAGCACAGGAAAGGTAGCTTAATATAGACTTTTAACACGCTGGTGTCCTGCTTCTCCTCGTGCCTCAGAGACCAGAATTGTGTGTGGCTCTTTTGGGTATACAGAGCCGGTCTAGGAATATTATACCTATTTTACTCAATTATAGTATAGGGTCAATACAAACCAACACTCTCACAATTAGAGCATATAGTATCCGCTTCTTCTCACTACCTCTAAATTATCTACAACATCCGTCACGTCACCCAACACATCCGTCACGACACCCAACCCGCTCCCTTCAGCCACATCATCCGCCAAACCCTCCAACGCGGGGAGCCCAAAACTCCAAAACATCTAAGGTACCATCTTTACGAAGTCACTGAAAGTTTAGTATGTAAAAAGCCGCTTCTGTGGCTTGGTGAGAGGCGGGAGTGGACCTCAGATGAGTGACCGTTCACGCGTGGTCTCAGAAACTCCCTCGGATGTCACTCACCCTTTTGCCTACGGCTGATTGGTAGTTTCAGTAGCGTAATGTGTTATAATGATTACGTAACTGCGTAATAGCTGGTAGTGGGGGGGTCGTTATGGGGGATAATTCACATTGATTTGGTCGACGCTGGAGATTGTAACGTTCATTCACTCAAGTGTGATTCGTTGACTGGTTGAGTTGTAGACTGTAATTTCATTGTTATTGTGTTGGAGTATCTGCGCTGGTTGGGCTCACTACGGCTTTCTCTCCTGTCTAACTTTGTTATTAAATATTTATCTTTTTTTTTACCTGCGGAAGCATGTTTACGGACCTCTGTAAACCGCGTAGACATAATAGATTTGACAGGACGGACCGAAACGTCGTCGTCCCTTCACCTTCTAGTGTGTGGTCTGGTCAACATACTTTAGCCACGTTATTGTGACTCATCGCCTGCATATAGATTTGACAAATCCACAAGGGCCGTGACGTAGGTTCGAACCTCGTCACGGCTCTTGTGGATTTGTTCATTTGGTGCATCACGCTACTGTGATTTCTGTGTGTAATAATATATTTACTTTCACAAACTCATATTTATCCCTTCAAACCCACTTGAAAATCACCGGCAGAATTGTATGATCAATCGTGCTTAACAAAGTATTTTTACAAAATATGTTTGTAAATTAGGTGTGTCTTGTGCGCCGGTAAATTAGGTGTGTCTTGTGCGCCGGTAAATTAGGTGTGTCTTGTGCGCCGGTAAATTAGGTGTGTCTTGTGCGCCGGTAAATTAGGTGTGTCTTGTGCGCCGGTAAATTAGGTGTGTCTTGTGCGCCGGTAAATTAGGTGTGTCTTGTGCGCCGGAAAATTAGGTGTGTCTTGTGCGCCGGTAAATTAGGTGTGTCTTGTGCGCCGGTAAATTAGGTGTGTCTTGTGCGCCGGTAAATTAGGTGTGTCTTGTGCGCCGGTAAATTAGGTGTGTCTTGTGCGCCGGTAAATTAGGTGTGTCTTGTGCGCCGGTAAATTAGGTGTATTTCTTGAGTGTCCGCGAGTGATTAAACCCTAAATTATTGTATGCCAATTTCAGTTTCTGCTTCTGTTGGATATAACAAGTCTTGATTTACAACTGAAGTTAAACAAAAAACAGAACACGAACATATAAACTAAGTTTACATTCAGAAAATACCTGAGGGGAAAAAATCGATTTGGAAAGAGGATTATTGATTTATGGAACAAATTACCGGGTAATATGATAAATGTAGGATTGTTGGATTGTTTCAAGCGTTGGATGGACATATATATGTGAATGAATTTTGAGAGGTATAAATAGAAGCTGCCTCGTATGCACAAATAAGACAATCGACTTGAGAATGGTCCACGACGGACCTCACAATCGACTTGAGAATGGTCCAGGACGGACCGAAACGTCGTCGTCCCTTCACCTTCTAGTGTGTGGTCTGGTCAACATTAATACACAAATAAGACTTCTATACTTTCCTTTGCTGTTATTTTCTATATATTTCGATCGTGTAAGCATACCTAATGCTCACAGAAATTCTGTATGACAAGCGGATCTAATCCTTCTCATGTGAGAGTCCAGCAGCTACCTACTGTGGCCTTTCAACAAATAGAATTTACAGAATTAAAACATTTATCTCAACAAAACACAGTTACCAATTTTCAAGACTCCCGCAGCCAAACTTTGACCATATGTAAATGAGAGTTGTGTGTGTGTGTTCGACGGGTTTTTGAAGGGCGATAAACGGAATTCGACCCAGTTTAACAGGAAGATAGAGGTCTTCTAGGAGAAACATCTGGGCTACAAGCGACTATATTCCTCTGCTAGCAACATAAATTATCCGAAAGAACAATTTTAAATGTCATTTGAATTATTGCAACTTCGAGGAATACGGGAGGTCGACATTTTTAGTGTGTAGAGTGTGGGGTAAAGGTTATTGGTAGTGTGCTGCTCACACTGGGAAGACGTCCCTGTACTTACTCCTGCGTCAGAGTACGTCAACCTGTCCTCAAGAGTACGTTAGGTTTTGACGTATTAATCTCCAGCGTCAAGATATGATGTTCAGAATATAGTCATAGCGGCTCCATTGCACTCCACCACCACCTGCACCACCACCACCACCACCACCTGCACCACCACCACCACCACCACCTGCACCACCACCACCACCACCACCACCTGCACCACCACCACCACCACCACCACCACCACCTGCACCACCACCACCACGACCACCACCTGCACCACCACCACCACCACCACCTGCACCACCACCACCTGCACCACTCCCACCACCACCTGCACCACCACCACCATCACCACCACCTGCACCACCACCACCACTACCACCACCTGCACCACCACCACCACTACCACCACCTGCACCACCACTCCCACCACCACCTGCACCACTCCCACCACCACCAGCACCACCACCACCATCACCACCACCACCACCACCACTACCACCACCACCACCTGCACCACCACCTGCACCACCACCACCATCATCACCACCACCACCACCACCATAAACCCGACTCATAAAGGCTGCCAAGAGAGGTAAAGAGGCAGCTAAAGAGCAGAAAATGTCTTTGATATAAAAGAAACATCAATCACGAGTCACTTTTGTTCCTCTTTTAGGACGGCCTCCTAGACACACTTTTGTGTACGAACCTGTGTTTATGACGCAAATATAAATATTGCGTCCTTTACGATATATATATATATATATATCGTAAAGGACATATATATATATATATATATATATATATATATATATATATGAGGCACAACTCTCCTAAACACGAGAGTGAAGTTATACAACTTTAGAACACTTTCCCACCAGGAGACTCGAACCCTAGCCAGCACAGAAGCCTTCCAGCAACTGGCATAACAGGTGCGCCTTAACCCACTGCACCACCGCTCAGACCCTTAAAAGAGATGGTAATTTCGGACTATTTATACACACCAAAGACATAAATACTCCGAAATTACCATCTCTTTTAAGGGTCTGAGCGGTGGTGCAGTGGGTTAAGGCGTACCTGTTATGCCAGTTGCTGGAAGGCTTCTGTGCTGGCTAGGGTTCGAGTCTCCTGGTGGGAAAGTGTTCTAAAGTTCACTCTCGTGTTTAGGAGAGTTGTGCCTCAAGCATAGACACAGTGTTCTCCCATATTAACAGGGACTTGATGAAAAACGTAAAAATGACCCCCTCACTTGCTCTAGTGCTCTTGGGAGATGGTTGTCTTTGGTGTGTATAAATACTCCGAAATTACTATCTCTTTTAAGGGTCTGAGCGGTGGTGCAGTGGGTTAAGGCGTACCTGTTATGCCAGTTGCTGGAAGGCTTCTGTGCTGGCTAGGGTTCGAGTCTCCTGGTGGGAAAGTGTTATAAAGTTGTATATATATATATATATATATATATATATATATATATATATATATACCCACAGTGAGTACTGAGGGGTATGCAGCCAACATGGGTGGATCTGGGTCAGTAAGGTTAATCCCATTAAGACGGGTCCCATTGCGACCCTTGCCTACCGAAGTCAACGGAAGGTCGATAGCAGAGTCCCTAGAATTTCTTTAGTAAGGAAAGTCACAAGCAGGTCGGTGGCAGGCTCCATGCTACCCGGGCCACCTATAGATGTCCGGGTCAACCCAAGCACCGAGTCGACACCGAAACCGGGTCGACACGGACGCCGCGTCGACACGGATGCCGGGTCGACGCGAGCAATGCTGAGCAAGAGACACACACACACACACACACACACACACACACACACACACACACACACACACACACACACACACACACACACACACACACACACACAACGAACGAAACCACGAAGGAGGATATTCTCGAAAGGAAGAGTCGACTGCAGCATGTGGAGGGATACAAGAAAGTATTCCTGCAGAGGGACTGGACGAAGTAGGAGAGAGCCAGGGC